TCTTCCCAATCATACCCATTTTCTTCTCGTTCTCTACCCACTTTCTAAACACCAGTCGACACCATGGTTTCACCAAGAGATGATTCGCAACCCAAGGAAAACCCCAAATAGTTCTTTCACCCTGTGTTTTTTTTTGTAACAAACATCAAAATGCTATACCTATAATTCGTGATCAATCTGATGATCGCTTTGCAACATGGGTTGAACTCTTCACCATTGTTGCCTGTGCTAATGACGTTCTTGATCACATAAGTACAAAATCTCCTCGATCTCCTTCTATTGACGATACTACATGGAACCGATTGGACACCCTTTTCAAACAGTTGATTTACTCTACTATAACCGTAGAACTGCTTCAAGTGATCATGCTACCACGAGCCACAAAACAAGATATGTGGGACCGCTTGCAGGAAATTTTACAAGATAATAGGGCAACGAGAGCAGTTTACCTCGAAGAGCAATTCAACACAAATAGATTGGATTCGTTCTCCAATGTCATTGATTACTATGCATGCCTAAAGACTCTCTTCAACCAACTTGTGAATGTCAGCAAACCTGTATCTGAAACGAAAATGGTGTTACTGTTGGTCTCCGGCCTGACACGTGGCGAGTTTGACACCATTGCTACCTTGATTCAATAGTCAGATCCTCTTCCCTCCTTCAAAAAAAGGTCGATCGTAGCTGCTTCTCGAAGAGACGTGACAAAACAAACAATATCATTCCTCTCCTCAAGCCCTGATTTCATAGAGTTCTGAAAATCGGACTGCTTCAACTAATTATGATTCGACCACTGGACGTGAAAAAGACTCCACCAGATGTGGTTATTATCGCGAAGGTGGTAGAGGAGGATGAGGAAGCACTCATAGTGCCGCTTGAGGTAGAGGAAGAGGTTGCAGTGGTCATGGTCAATAGAAACAAACAAACTGGAATGACACTTCTTGGTATTCGTAACTAATGTGGGTGCCTCCTCCTCCTTGCCCATACCCGACATCCAACACAATTGAAATTCTTGGTCCACGAACTATTTTTTAACAACACTGAACTCGATAGTGCATTCCATACTATACATATTCAACCTCCCGGTGGATTATGGTACATGGATACGGGTTCTACCTCACACATCACAATGACTCGAGGAAAATTTCCAACTATTCTCCTTTAAGTAAACATAAGTATATTTATGCAGGCAATGCTTATCGATTGCCAATTGCCGGTTTTGGCACAACAACTTCTCCATCCCCACATTTTCCTTTTAAACTCATCGATGCGTATCTCGTTCCCTCTATAATTAAAAATCTTGTTTCCGTATGTAAATTCACTTGTGATAATCTTGTTGCCATAGAATCTGATCCTTATGGTTTTTCTGTGGAGGATCTCATTATGGGGAGGCTCATCACACGATGAAATAGATCGGGCGACCTCTATCCTATCACTCACGCTTTGAACATCAAGTCTTTACCTACCTCCCTTGATACTATGTCTTCGTCAACTTGGCATAATCGTTTAGAACGTCCAAATACTTCAGTTTTAAATCCTTATGTAATCATCAATTTATTCGTAGCTTTAAACTTAATAAAGATTCTGTTTGTCATGCTTGTTCCTTAGGGAAAAATGTTCGATTACCATTTACTTCCTTCACATATGTTACATATAAACCATTTGATATTATACATGCCGATTTATGGACATCACCAATTCCTAGTAAACGCAAACACAAATACTACTTAGTTTTCCGTGACAATTTCTCACATTTTATTTGGACTTTCCCTCTAAAAGCCAAGTCTCAAGTCTTTTCTATATTTATACAGTTCCAAACTCACATAAAAACTCAATTCCAATTACCAATCAAAGCATTCCAGTGTGACAATAGCCGTGAATTCAACAATTCTTCTTTTCACAACTATTCTCCAATCGTCGTGGATACGTATGCTTACCTCTAAACTCATCCACACCTATTATATCCCTACATGTCATCTTCAAAGAAGATATTTTTCCCTATTTCAATTTATCTCCATACCACAATCACTCATATACATTTCTTGATCCTACCAAACCCTCCTCCTATCTCACTCATTACCAACAATTCCTTCAAAATCCAAGTCCCACCAACACAACTATCACACACGTCGATGCCACCTTAAACCTTGCTCCTCCCACCCCTTCCTTGGATGCTAGTAATCTACCAGCCCACTCCACACCACTACGGAACCATCGCTTCAGCCTATCATAAGATGTCTCTAACCTTCCTACAATCCCACAAATTGTTTCTTCTCCTCCATCCAATTTTCTCAAACCCCATCTTCTCCTCCTACAACTCATCCTATGCAAACATGAGCCAAGAGCGGTATTTTTAATCCCAACCCCAAATACTCCTTCCATACTCATGACATTTCTCCTATTCCTAAAAACCCAAAACTTGCTCTACTTGATGAAAATTGGAAAGATGCCATGCTTACTGAATATAATGCTTTACTTAAACAGAATACTTGGGAACCTATCCCTAAACCACAAGATGCAAATATTATACGATGCGATTGGCTGTTTAGACATAAATTTCGTCGAGATGGCTCTCTTGAATGATACAAAGCGAGATTAGTTGTTAATGAGGAATCTCAAGAAGTCGGGGTTGATTGTGATGAAACTTTTAGCCCCATGGTTAAACCTACAACAATACGCATGTTACTTAGCTTGGCACTCACTCGTAACTGGGAGTTACATCAACTGGATGTCAAAAACACTTTTTTACATGGCTCTCTAAAAGAAATAGTATTTATGCACCAGCCCCTCGGTTTTCATCATCCTTCTTATCCTAGCTATGTGTGCAGGTTATGTAAGTCTTTATATGCACTTAAGCAAGCTCATCGGGCTTGGTACTAACGGTTTGCTACATATCTCTTGTAACTTGGTTTACATGTAGTAAATGTGATTCATCGTTGTTCATTGACACCAACGGTTCTAGTCAGGCCTACTTGTTACTATATGTAGATGATATTGTTCTCACCGCTTCCTCCACCCAAATCAAGAACGAACTCATCCGTAAGCTTGCTCAGGAATTTGAAATGACAGACTTGGGTCCACTTTTATACTTCCTTGGCATTCATGTTACGCGTACTAAAAATCACATGATTCTTAACCAATGCAAGTATACATAAGAAATTATCAAGCGAGTTAAATTAAACATGTGCAAACTTGTTACCACTCCGGTCGATACTCATTCCAAGCTTAGCCCCATGATTGGGGATTCGGTTCATAGCCCCTCTTGGTATCGAAGTTTAGCTTGTGCACTTCAATACCTCACGTTTACAAGGCCTGACATCTCCTATGCGGTTCAACAGTTGTGTCTTTTCATGCATGCATCACAAGTTCCTCATTTTAATGCTCTCAAATGTATTCTTTGGTATCTTCAAGGAACTCTTGAGCTTGGTTTGCATCTTTATCCTTCCCGGCCCACTAGACTTATCGCTTACACTGATGCTGACTGAGCTGGTTGCCCCGATACTCGACGATCCACATCTGGTTATTGTGTTTATCTCGGGGATAACCTTATATTGTGGTCCACTAAAAGACAAACTACATTATCCCGATCCAATGTTGAAGCGGAATATCGAGCAGTCGCAAATGTAGTAGTGGAAACATGTTGGCTACGTAACATTCTTTGTGAGCTTCATGTCCTGCTCCACCGTGCTTCACTTGTTTATTGTGACAACGTTTCTGCGGTCTACCTTTCTCGTAATCCCCTTCAACACCAACGTACCAAGCACATCGAACTTGACATTCATTTTGTTCGAGAAAAGGTAGCACTCGGACACGTTCGTGTTCTTCATATACCATCTGATTATTAGTATGTTGATATCTTCACCAAACTGTTTCTAGATTTCAAATCTAGTCTTCACGTCCAGCCACCTCCCACTACGACTACGGGGGACTATTAACGATAACTATCATATAAGATTAGGATTACAATAGTATTTGAATGTATTTCGAATTAGTTTATCATTATCTAGTGGTAGGATGATTGTTGTATATAGACTTGTTGATGATTAATGAGAAAGGCAATGAAGCCAATTAGCTTTAAGAGGTTTCGGGAAAAGAAGTTATACATTTCAGATCTACATACCAGGAGAAGTGGAGAACTCATGGATAGGCCACACCAAGATAGAATGGATGAAAAGAATATATAAGCCAAAATCATGTAATCCAAACTAAAGAGGAAGTGTTAATCTTACAGGGAGAAGTCATTGTGCCATTTTTTAGATATCGGAAAGAAAAGTCCATACCTGTATGCTAGACAAAACAATATGAAACAAAATCAATACATGAACTGACGTTACAGACAATAGATCAATTGACAGGGGGATCCATGAGAATTTCTACAGGTTTATGAATTATGATTTGAGAGAGTGGAGGAGGAGGGTATTTTTGTTTTTGTAAACATTACTTGGAGTCGTCCAACAGTTCCACCCTTTTGGATGGGACTAAATTTACAAGTTTTAGTCACATTGACCAAGTTTTTGTCACGTTCACTTTTTGTTCCACCTTTGCCAAACGCCATACCAAATAATATTGTTCTTGTCCTATTCTCTTATGCATACCAAACGCTACCTTAGTGACACAATTAACCAAATCAGTGACAACCCTCTTTCCAAAAAGCATGGCCATATGTCATTTTTGTACTAGTGTTGCCAATATACAAATTATAAAATAATTGTCTTAACACTTAACGAATGTATACGACATTTCTAAGGCGATGGAAACGTGCTAGTTTTGAGATAGAGCAAAATTAATTGGATTGTAGTAAGGAAACTAAAGAACTTTGGCAACGAAATCTCTATTCACACACATATTCAGGTAACTGGCATGCCTTTTTGAGTAACAAAATTTAATCGAAGGAGAAAAACTTGGCAGTAACTTGCTACATTCTGTATAAAAACTACTACAACAAGGAATCTGTAACAATTAACATCAATAAAAATTTTCAAAATCCAACAAATTCAGCTAAATCACTTAACAGTATAGATGGTTTGGAGTAACGTTAGGACGAACAGGATCACAGCAGCAATGACTGTCAACGTTTTCCACGTAGTACTTCTAAAAAGTCTTCGCAGTGAAATTAATATGCTAGGCCAGAAACGATTGCAATACTCATCCAGTTTTGTCCATTCCTCAGAGTAATAAAAATCTCGAAGGACAACACCATTGCAAATATTGTTGAAGAGATTCGTGACATCTTCAATGGCTCCCAGGTTGTGTTGAAGGACCTTTGACCTCACAAGCAACGAAACATCATCTTTAGTGTCAATAAGCCTGTCCATGAGGAAGGCGAAAGAGGTAACATAATGACGACTTAATGGGTAGCATTGCTCATAGGCAATGAGATTCCTTAAGAACGATGGAGTGGAGTCTTTGATACACAATACTGGAATTCTGAAACAGGTTTCTCGAACAACTAGAGAACCCGACCCGGGAACAAGAGATGATTGTTTAAATTTCACTGCAAGTAGCGAATCTTCATCTTTGTGTGCCTTGAATGTAACTCCAGCTCCAGCGATTTCAGTGGCAGAGTATGAGATATTCGGGACTCGGCCTCGCTTGGTAGCTCTTGGTCTGTAGCAGCTTTGGAGAAGCCCAAGGATATGGCAATGCTCTACAGATCCCTCAATTGTCGTGAGGTCGCTATTATTTATGATATTCATATCCTTGAAGAAATAGAAGACAAGGTCAGTTAACGAAATCGATTTCAAGATCCGTTTCACAGTGATGCTGAACAATATTTCAAGAATAAAGAATGGCATTTGGTTCTCTAGTAGCAGCAAGTCGTGTTTAACGTCATGTATCACCAGAATATTGTCAAAAATTGGATCTCCCTCTCCAATTCCATATTCGAACCTGTAGAGAAGCTCAAGTATGAAACAACCATCAATAACCATCATTTCAGCGAACTTGAAATTTTCATAATTTGTAAAACTTGGTGCATAGCAAGCTCTTGCACGTGTTAGAAGCCCAAGAACTGCTTGTACGCAGTTATAAGTTATTTGCTCTATATCCTTCTTTGTGGATTCCACAGTTCGACAAAATAATCGATACATGTAAGTCACTTTATGTTCCTCCATAGCTTTAAGATGTTGGTCCTCTTTGTGAAGAGGGCCGATTGAGGTGATTCGAGGCGTATATGCAGTTGGATTCAGATTTCGAAGTGTATCAGGTACCATACAAATTGTGACATTAGATTGCTTGGAATGATTCGTTCTTGCTGATTCACCTTCTATCAGTTTACTGATGGATTCGTGAACCTTCTTTCCATAGTCGTCATCTTCAGTTCCCATAATGAATCCTGTTGCTAACAGATGACTTCTTCAGATCTATCTACAAGAGTTGATCACAATAAATTTGGTTAGTATTAGATGTTTGCAACAACGAATAATCAACTTACTTGGCACGTTCAAGGTAGGCCCGGTGTTAATGTTCTGGCTTCAAATTATTGACATAGTATACGGTAGCAGTTGGCTATACTAGATCATGAAGATTTAGTTGAATAAATAGTTAGGTAGTGTGTGAACAAAGTCCAAAGTCAATGTGTTCATATTATTATTAACAATATATATATATATATATATATATATATATATATATATATATATATATATATATATATATATATATATATATATAGATCCGGTAAGAAATTTTTTTTGGTAGGAAGGTAAGAAGTTTTTTTTCTACATATTTTTTTGACGAACAAAATAAATGAATCACTAGATGATTCATTTGTAAGATGATTCACAAAAAAAAATTCCCAAAAAAACATCCTTATGATTTATTTTTAAGTAAATTAAGAAAAAATTGATTTTTATGACAATTTTAGTGAATAACAATAAAATCATTGTATAAATGAATCATCGAGATGTTTTTTTGAGAATTTTTTCTCGTGAATCATCTTAAAAATGAATCATCTAATGATTCATTTTGTTTGTTCGCGAAAAAAATATGTAGAAAAAAAACTTCTTACCTTCCTACCAAAAATTTCTTTCTTATTTGATCTTGACTCTATATATATATATATATATATATATATATATATATATATATATATATATATATATATATATATATATATATATATATATATATATATATATATATATATGAAGGATCATTTGATCAGAACCTAAAGTTTCCCAAGAACTAAAAGTGGAACGTCAGATCAAAACTTTTGATGGTCTAGATCAAATATGACATATTTGTAATTATTAACAATTTCAATGGTAACATTAATAAATTACAAGGGTAGTTAAGGGATAAAAATTAATATACATAACAAATAATCAAAATTAATTTGGAACATACAACTCTCTCTCATCCTCTTTCTCTTCCCCCCATGTTCATCTTCATCCCAGATTTTGAGATGAAATCGTCAAATCTCGCTGCGTTCTTATTGTCATCTTCAGTCGCCGAAGTGTATCACATCCACCTTTGCTCCTCCACGCTACTGTGAATCATCAGTTGTATCATTGTCGTTGATTTTCCCTAAAACGCTTGTTATATCTCCAATTGGTTATCTACCATCGTATATCTGGAATAGAAATGGTTGTCTTCAGCCATCGTCCCATTCTCACCATCGTTTTCAATCGCCAGAGTCTACCAACATCGCATCTGCTCCTCCACAATTCTGAATCGTTGATTTGACCTAAAACATAATCGATGTCGCTCATTCCTTACCGATTGCAGTAGATTTGGAATAAAAGTGGCAAAATTATCTAATTAAAGTTGCTTCGTCGATTCACTCAACTTCGATCATCAAGTATCATTAATTCTTACATACTTGTATTATTCGGTTTTTAAATAGGTATGAAATCAACTCATTTGTAGAATTATCTATCTTCTTTCATCTAAACTGATACTCTTCATTGGTTGATTTAACTAAGGTTTTTGTAACAATGTGTGGATTTAACTAGGTTTTGGGTAACATTGTGTGGCTGGAATTCTTTGAATTCTGATTCATTTTAGTTTGTATTAATCCATATAACCGTGGCTTGCCATCATCATAATATGCAAGCCACACATGGTAATCTTGAAAAGAATTTTCCATTCGACCTAAATCAAAATTGTGAAAGTGAGGATCAGGAACACTCATTTCAGACTCTTCATCATGTTTATTTATTAGGTTCCACTTATGTTCATGTGAGATTACTTTAGTATTATCATTTGAATTTGATACACACTTATGCTTGTGTCTTATTTAAACTGTTTGTTATGTTTAGTTGATTAAATGAGGGTTAAAGGTGGTTGTAGATGGCTTTATAGATAATAATATTTTATTGATGGATAAGACATTTGGGTTTGATACTATTGTAGAGGAAGCACAAACATGTAAAAAATTTAATAATTTAACAGAAGGAAGAACACAGAGAAAGTTGAAACTGATATACCTGTTTAGACAGAGGTTTGACAGCAATGCAGCTACACGAGTCTTCTCATCCAAATTTCCATACTCAAATATTTGAATGAGAAACTGTAAACCCCCGACACCAAGTAACTTTTTGGCATTTGCTGTATTTTACTCTGTACCAAAATCAGTAAGAAGCTGCTCTAATATGTGAAATGGTTACTCCCTTTGGATGCTTTACTTATTAATGTTTTTATCAAGTGAAGATATAATTATAGAGGTTGATCCCTTTTTTAGTTTTTTCTCCAGTTAAAAGGCATTCACTTATTATTCTTTGTGTATGTTCTCCCTCCAACGTTTTGCTATTGTTACTATGAGGATAAGAGAACCCAAAACTATAACACTAGTCTTTGATTCTAGGAAAATGGTAAGTTTTTATTCTAAATTTGTATTTTATTATCAAGCAAATATCATTGTATTCTAAGTATCTTGTTATTTCCCTTTAGGTTTGTACATGAGCCAAGAGTGAGCAACAATCAAAGTTAGTAGCACAAAAGGTACATAAATATTATTATTATAATTTTTTTATTTTAAAAAATACAGAATCCTTACAAACATTCTAATATTTAAATTATTTTTTGGATATAGACTAATTATATAGTGCACTAGTAGTCACCATCTGCTTCCTTAGTATTCTATTTTGGAATTTGTGTTTTGGAATTCAGCAAATCTTATATTGTTATTGAAAAAAATCACATGTAATTCATATATGGATCACATGTAAATCATAAGTAAATCGGATATGAATGACATGTGATTCACATGTAATTCACATATGAATCACATGTATATTGTAATATCCGAAATTTCAGGTATGTTATCGTATGGTTAAATTCTTGAGGTTTATGGAGTGACTCAACGAGTTGGGAGTCCAACTCACCGAGTAGGGTCGAGTTACCGTGTGGGATTTAATGAATGGACTCGACGAGTCGGGAGGCAGACTCGCCGAGTTGGTGATGGCAGAGAAATCCTAATTTCCCAAGTTTGCGACCCGTAAAGGGAACTTATGCCCCCATTTCTACCTCATCAGTCACCCTACACCCCTAAGAGTAAACCCTAATTGCTAATTGATCTAGAGAGTGAGAGAGAAGCTCATATTGTGGTCCTTGTGCATCATTTGAGGAAGAGGATGAAGTTTTCAAGCAAGGAGTTGGAGGAGGGGCTGTTGGATCCAGTGATTTCCTATACAGAGCTCCTGAGGAAGGTATGAAGTCTTCAACTTTCTTCTTATTTTGGATAGATCTCATATCTATGGAGTTTTAGGGATTTTTGCCATTTTCTGTTTGGGTTTTGAGTAGCATGAGTTATCAAAGAGTCTAGACCTCAGATCTGGACCTTGTGAGTTCCTTAAAGTCTAGTTGTCCCAGATTTATTCATCCATAGGAGGGTGTTTGGGCTTAATCGCTCATGAAGGGCATGTATTAGCATTTTTTGGAGCAATAACATCATGCATGAACGTAAAGATTGAAACTTTACATGACTATTGAGCCTTGAGATGACAGATCTAGTGTTTAGAGTGATAGATTTGTTTTAAATCGTCTGAATGAGCTTTGGGTCGGAATGAAATCGCCGAGTCGGTGAGCCGACTCAACGAGTAGGTTAGGGTTTTTCCGATCAAGCTGAATCGCGTGTTAACTCGACGAGTTGAGCAGGAACTTCATGAGACTTTTGAGTATGCGAGTGGACTCGATGAGTCACAAGGGTGCACTCGGCGAGTCAGGCCAAATATCGATTGTTGACTCGAGATTGACTTCTGTTCACTTTAGGGTTGGTCAACATGAGTAAAGGAGATCATGGAGGGGTAAAATGGTCTTTTATCCACTTCAAGAATTGAGCTGAGAAAGAGTATAGCCTTAGTGTATGTGAGTATTAATTTGAGATGTTTATCCCTTATGTTAGGCGGAGGCTAGCTCGAAATTTGGGTGTGTGGTTATTTACTTGCTGCTTTTTAGGTGAGTCTTCTCACTATACTTTACCTGGAGTGGTAACTATGTGTGACCGGAAGGTCTTATGTGCTTGTATGAGTTATATTATTTGATATATATATATATATATATATATATATATATATATATATATATATATATATATATATATATATATTTGCTGTCAAGGTTGGACCGGAAGGTCAAGCAGGGTTGGACCGACAGGTCAAGCAGGGTTGGACTGCAAGGTCAAGATGGATCGGACCGGAAGGTCAACAGGGTTACGATCGAAAGGTCAGTATGGTAGGACCGAAAGGTCTACCAGGATTATTGGATCGGAAGATCCCACTGAGACACAGTGACCAGAAGGTCTTGTAGCCTAAGATGTCTAGTATGTGTATGTGATATTTTAGGGAACTCACTAAGCTTCGTGCTTACCATGTTATGTGTTATGTGTATCAAGTTCTCATCAGGATCGCGGGAAGGCACCGACTTGACTGTACACAGAAGAGAAAAGAGTCATGAATGAGGATCCTGGATTTTGATAATTACTCCCGAAAACTATTTTGAAATATGTTATGACATCGACACTTGAAATTTTTGAGAATTATTATATGTGATGGTGGTAATTTAAAATTGAAAATTTTGTTTGAAAATTAACGGTGTTACAAGTTGGTATCAGAGCCTTGGTTTGAAGGATTCAGATGCACCTCTGGGTGTGTTTGAACTCAAACCCAGGATTTGAGAAAGATTTTCAAAAGAGATAAATTTTACTAAAAATGAGAAAGAGTTTAAGAGAAAACAAGTTGGAGAAGTGTGTACAATCAGCTAGGGCCCGAACGGTGATTTCCCAAAATACCCTTACTTATGTGTTATAACTTGTTATAAGATATGTTATGCATGCTAGAGATAGGCTAGGTATTTCATATTTTAGGACTAGAATGGCCTGATATGT